CAACAAATTAAAAATCCTTGACGGAAAGGGATTGATTGGGAAGTGGCACAACAATTAGGCTTACTCCATATTTGTAGCTCAGAAAAGTGATTCGGGATGTCAACAAATGTCGAGAAACTCACTCCTCACAGCGCTTCCTCATTACCCTGACGGTGCTCGCTGCACTACATAGAGAACCGGAAAATGTTTTGTCCGTTTTGTGGCGTTAGCTTCAGCCTCTTCACCCCTTTTTGTGCTTCCTGTGGACGTTCTCTGGAGCTTTTGCGGCACACAGACCAGGCTGAAGGGTCAGACTCCCCAGGGACATCAAAACAAACAGAAAATTCTGAACAAAGTAATTTTGATATATTACTCACTTTTTATTCTCTTCAGACAGTCTATGCTATTTCAGTTAAATAGCACGTTTATTTACCATTTTGGCTCCGTTTTCTTTTTATGTTTGCTTATACTGTATTCTCGTCTACATTTAGTAATCGAGAGTGCTTATAACCCCGTTTTGATGTTAAACGTTTTTCATTCAACCAGAGCAAACATGTCCGTCATACAAGCAGTTCATGGAGTACAAAAGATCAAAATCCATAGAGCGTCAGGCCTTCAGCTGTAGAGCAAAATTAAAACTCAAGCAACAGAGTAAACCTGTCAAGGTAAGCCATCACAGGTAACTTTATAAATGAGGATTTGGCAATTATTCTTAAAGTGATCTGGCTTTTATTATTTCTTTCTATATCAATATAGGATTAATGGTGTCACAACAAACGGACTTAAAACCGCTAAGAGGGAAAACACTGCCCTTATTTATCAGCCCCGAAATTACAGCCCCTGACCTCCTGAAGCAGGCTGTAGAAAAAATGAGAACATTCAACAAGGACTTGGTGGAGGGACCATATGTCCTTTTGTATCCCGACTGCACAGAGGTGATAAATGTGCCTGGGACAGAAAGGCCATTCCGATTGGCAGACTACAAAGAGGAAATAGGAAAGAACTACAACAGGATTTCTCTTTTCATTTGCCTAGAGAGCCACTTCAAACAAGGTTCGTTAATTTTATATTTTGATGTGTTTACATATACAGCAACTAATAATGTGTTTATTTTCTCAGCTCTGATTGCAGAGGATGGTACCTCAGACTCAGACCCTGAGATTGTGATTACATCAAGAAGCACAGCTGAGTTCAACCAGGCAGACACATTGGTGTGTACTTTTTTTCCC